TTTGCAGAGGCCAAATGTCCACACCATAACAGTCAGGAAGTAATAGTTTATATACTAAATTATTTTTCAAAGTAGTGAAAACAATATGACTTTGCAGAGTAGCAGAGTGACTAAACCACCACATTTGGGAGAAATGTTTTTCCTTGCTCCTCAATTACTAATGCAGACTATGGATGAATTATGTTAAACCGCCCTGATTCTAGTATGTCACCACACTGGGAGGTTGCTGTGAGCTGTGATACCACAGCGCTCTACTAAGGGTGACAAAGTGAGATTCTGTCTCCAAAAAAAAAATTAGTTTTTTAAAAAAATTATTTTATGAATTATGTTAAACTGCCCTGATTCTAGTATGTCACCACACTGGTGTAGATCAGTGTCAGCAAAGTCTCCAATTCTATGACTGCAGAAGGCTCTCATTTTCTAGCCTAGATAACAGAGAGTATTGTCATTCAGAGAGTGTGACCTTGTGCTGTTATGCTGTAAAATGGGAATAATATCTACTTCTTAAGAGTGTCATGAAGATTAAACAAGGTAATATTATGTATATAAAGCCCTTTCCCTTAAAATAATATTTGTAGGAAAACACCACAAGGTGGTAAGTAGAATCCAAAAAATTCAACCATGTGAAGAATGTGATGATGTAATGGTGAGGCACTCCAGTTACTACTGCTGTGTAAACTTAGTGGTGTCAAACCATTCTGTTATGCTCACGGAGTCTGTGGGTGAAGAATTTTGGAAGGCCTTACCTGGACAGTTCTTGCTTGGGGCTACCCCGGGGTTGCAGTCAGATGTTGGAGGGGCCGCAGTTATTGGAAGGCTCAAGTGGACTGGCCATGCAAACGGCTGCTCTCAGTTGGTGCTGGCTGGGGACTGAGACTTCAGCTGGGACATCAAACAGACCACCTACTGTGACCTCCCCAACTACATGCGGCCTGGGACCTCCCGCAGTGGGTCTCCTCTCCTCAGGGCAGTCAAAATTCTTACAATGGTCAGGAGTCCAAGGAAGCAGGGTGGGAGGTGAGTTGCATTTTGTAACTATGCCAGCAAGTTAGCAGGATCACTCCTTCTGCGTTTTATTGGTATGAGCCAGTAATTAAGGCCCACCCAGCATCAAGGGGAGACAGACCCTACCTCACCAGGTCAAAGAATTAGCTGGCATGTTGTAAAGGTGCCACCTGAAGTTAATGAAAATGATTACTTTTCAGTCTGAATCATCTCCAAAAAAATTTTCAAAAAGAGAATATTAAAACTACAGACCTGAGAAAGTCCCAAATGATAACTGTCCCCAAATCCAACCTTGTGTAAGAATTTAGCCTACGTGTATGAGAACACAGGCAAAGGAGAAGGTAATAATAGACTTTGAGAATTCCATCTCAAATTTGCATCATGCCAGGTCACAGTAGCATTATGTGGGGTTTCACTCTAGTATAACCTCGGTTACTGTCACTTACTGAAATGCCAGAACACCGTGGCTTCAATTCGTTTCACATAATAGTCCAGCCAGCTTGGGCTGGCAGGTGAGCTCTACCCCATGACATCATTTCACCCCCCAGACTACTGCTCTACCATCTCCTAGTGTTGTCCTTATGTGCACAGGTAATGTTAGGTAATGCTGACACACCTCACTTCCAGTTTGAGAAGAAACAGAGGCAGAGTCTAGAAAAGGAGCTTGTTTCAGAGTTGGAGAAATTTGTAATAAGTTGTATCCATCACGTCTGTGCCCACCCACTGCTGAGATTCAGTCACAAGACCACATCTTGCTGGAGGGGAGACAGGGAAATAGTTTCTGGCTGGGAAACCACATGGGAGGAAGGAGAGAACTGATTAGGGGAACAGCAGTCTGCCCCACAAACCATCAGTAAATTATTATTCTAACATTCAATTGTTTGCAATATTCACAAGCTAATCAAATCTTTTAATCTCCATCAATTTCAGTGTCATAAATAATTAAGGTGCTAATTGCAAGTGAATCTGAATTAAATGACATGTATTCTTCAAAGCACTTACAAATTTCTCTAGGACTGCCAGCAATTCTCTTGCAAAAATGTCTGCACATGGAGAGTTGGCAACACAGATCTTACCTGGACTCCTGCATATATAATATATTACTCTGAAGTCCAAGTTAATACATCCAGTGAAATCTGAACAGAGCTTAGACATGATAATCAAGGTAGAAGAATCCAGAGATAACCAAAATTAGTTGATGGCAAAATTCATTCACCTTCTAGGAGAAAGGGGGTATTTTCTTTTATTAATGTAAACATTAGATTGTATGTATTTCTAGGTTTAGAGATTTTTTTTCACAGCTGCTGCAAATGTAATGAACTTGAAGTTTGTACAGTTTGACCACCTCCCTCTGACTTTGTCTGTGTCCCTCAGGATGGGATGATGCTAAGGACAGCACGTAAGTGTGTTGCAATATTAAGATTCTGGACAAGAAATCATCTCTAGGTTTCCTCTGTGTCTCCTTAAAAAAAGTTATTGAGGGAGATGCCTGTTGCTCAAAGGAGTAGGGCACTGGCCCATACACCGGAGGTGGCAGGTTCAAACCCAGCCCCAGCCAAAAACTGCAAAAAAAAAAAAAGTTATTGAAATTCTGTATTTCCACATCTGTAAAATAGGAATACCACCTACATTTACTGGTGGAACATACAATGGCACTTTTTACTCAGTAAGACACAAATTCATACTGTGCAAAGCAGAAACAACACACTGGTGAAGTGTCTAGCCTGTAGATGGCAGCATGCGTGGAGAGGGACAAGACTACTCTCTCACTTTCGATCTCAGTCTTGATGTTCTAAGCTAAAGACACAAACCAACTTGCCAGGGCCTTCTGGGCATGGGATAACTGCCAGGAGGAAAGATCTCACATAGGTCACTGGTGGCCAGAGGTAGCAGACAGGGCGCACTCAATCCTGACCAAGAACTTTTACCGTGATTACTTGGGTGACCCCTGTTTAGACAACTGTCTTTAAAGACAACAGGTATTGATGGGAATACCGATAAAGACTGGACTGGCTTTTCCAACCAAAAAACAAAATGTGGAGTATAAAAATTTGGAGAAAGAAAACCACTGTCAACACTATACCGTAAATAGGGAAGTTTAAGGGTGTAAGCATTCTGTAGGCCTTCAGCTTGTAGCTTTGTCTAGCAGGTCTATCTGTATGCATGTGCTCATGTCTTCAATGATACAGGCAGAACACACCACAAAGGGAACACATAGCTGTGAAAAAAGACCAGGAGAGGGAGAACTGACAGTAAATTACTATGTGAGAATGGGCTAGGAAGCTTCAGGAATCCTAATACAGAGGGCGCAGTGGGGAACAAAGTATACCTAGAGGAAGAAAAATAAACACCAATGGAATGTTAAGCAAATAAGCCATCAAAGACGTTTCTACACTTTCCTATGCCGCAAAGAGGGCCCCCCAAAGAACAAGCCCATTTGTCAGGTTTCTTGTCTTATCTACTTAACTATGAGGTGAGGTTTAAATCTGTATTGTATTCCAGAAAGACAAATAAATGGAATTTTATAAATTACAATGTGTATAGAAGTGTAAACAAAACTAAGAAGGTATCTCCTGAAGCCCAGAAGTAGCGAATCACTAAGTGTAGGTAGCATTAGTCTTGTGCAGGTCAGTACACATCCTGTCCCCGCTGCCTCCCACGTACTTAAATGAGGTACACACTAACAGTGCTGTGCTGGCGCGGTATGTGGAGCTGGACACGGCCAAGGTATCAGCTGAAGGGAAAGAGCAAGACACACACTATGCAATACCAGGCAGCAGTCAGAAGCAGTGATCCAGACACTGTTAGATTTTGAGTATAAAAAGGTTGGAATGAGAAAGGAAACTAAGAGTTATGGCTCAATACCATGTACAGTTAAGTATAAATTAAAAACATGCCACATTCAAAGCACTACACCATTTTCTCAGGATATAGATTAAAGACATGTCAAACACAAGAGGTTGGGAACTTATATGGGGAGAAAGACAGAAAACAGAATGAAGGAGCAAAATTAAAACCATTGCATCCACCATTGTTGGATAATAGTGAACCTAATTACCAAGAGACTATAATCCAACTCTGGGTTCCAAGTTTTAAAGAAAAAGATGTGTCTCTAGAAAACAGGGACTAGTTAATACATGGTAAGGGCAACCACATTCTGGAATCGTGAACTCACTACTTAGAACACTGTGTTGACTAGAACATCGGCCTTACTCCTGTAGCATCTATTTGCTCTGTAAAGACAAACCGTAACCACTAATTTCGCTTACAGAGACTCAGTGAGTGATGGGTCCTTTGACAGATTTATTTAGCCCCCACAATCACCTTTGAGATAACAAACACCTCCATTTTATGGATTTAAAAAAAACCAAGTCATGTTTCCAAAGTCACACAGATAGGTCAACTGATATGGACATGTTCAACTTCATTTCCAACATATTAGTACCCTTCCCTAAGGAAATACACTGAGACTCTCTTCCGAGATTAACCCTCAGGTAATCTATCTTTCTAAAATGACGTCTTAGCCTTTTACTTCCTTTCCAAGCTAATCGCTCCAGTAAAAGTAGTACGGGGTCTGAGTGCACAGCACTGTCACCCTGCATGTGTTCACATTTGGAAATAAAAAGCCTTCACCACAAGCCACTGACATGCTCTTTAACTTTGCTTGGATTTAATGAAACTGCCCACACATTCAGCACTCCAAGCCATGAGACGTTCAAAGAGCAACATTCAATTTTGCTACCATATAAGCCTCAAAGCCCCCGTACGTAGGTCCCAGTGCCGCGGCACAGTAGGCAGTTGTGAAAGTTAAGGTTTGAAGCAGACAAGTCACTCCTGAGTTTCCCACATTCTTCAACAGCCATAAGTCATGTAAAAGCTGAAGCAATGAAGCAGCTGCCAAGCAGCAGAGTGGGTCACAGGGCCCAGGAGATACACTACTCACTTGGTGAAAACATAACCTTTAACACCGTTCAAAAACGATATCCAAAAACCAATATGATTCTAATTTTTATTAGGTCAGAACAAATGAAATAGCAGCAAAGGGGCCCATCACACAATCTGGCGGTCACTGGTCCTCCAACAAGGAGGAAACGTGAGCAAGAGAGTGATCATTCCACAGCGCAGATGCTCAGAATCTCACTTGGGCCCTAAAGTGCATGTGCTTGGTGGCGTTGTTCTTCATTCCCGTCTTCAGCATCCACTTGGATTTCATCCTTTGCACATACTGCATGTCTCGCTCTCGCATAAGAGCTGCTCCTGTGGCTGCAAGGGGGTTAGGAAATGAGGCACAGTCTATTATTTGTGATCAGAGAACACCTAATCCTGGCAGAGAATCTGAAAGTCAGTTTGTGGTAACTGGGTTCTTTCATTTAAAGAAGAGTTGCTAACCTGGGGTCTAAGAAATGGGCCTAGCAATCTCTGCGCCTGTCAGAACTGCATACTAGAACTTTTGTATATATACATTTTTCTGGGATGAACATCTTTACTTTTTATCATCTGGAAGTCTAGAAGTCCAAAAGGTGAAGTTCCACCCATCTATGGGGACAGGGAAAGGCAGAACTAAGTTGAGTCAGGCAATTATTCCTAACAAGAGTGAGATGACATCAGTCTCTGCCAGATTCAGCTGGCCAATGAGTAGCCGGAGTGACAGAAACTACATATAAACCCAGTGACATGTAAAATGGATTTCAGTCATCCAGAGCTTCTCAGGCCATCAGAAGGCAGATCTCTCTTATGCTCTCCATAGCGCCCTAGAAGGATGGATGTTTTCCCTGAAGATCTAAGAGTAACCTGCATCATACAGCAAAAACATCAGAATAGATTGAAATAATAGCACAGTGATGAGCTTTCAGAGCGTAAGTTTCAGTGGCCCACTTTACTCTTCCTATCCTAAGCTGTCTGTGGGAAAACTATAAAGGAGGAGACCGACAGCTGACCTCCACGCATGAACGCACACATCACACACATCATGTACCTGTGCTGCCAGTCCATCCCAGTGCCCTGTACTGCTGAAGGACACGGCCCACAGCCTTCCGATTTTTAGCAACTGCCACAGCTCTCGACAAGCCAAATCGCTGTCTGTAGTATCTCATCAAGGAGCGATGACCCACTCTGGCACCTGATTTTCAAAAGAGCAATATTTAAACCACTGGACAGTTTTTTCGAGGCAGAGCTCTAAGGCAAGGGCTTTTCAAATCACATCTTTAAATGTATTTATTAGATGGAAAAGGATATGGCAGAAGAGACAGTGTTCTCTTACTAAAGAAAAATTAAGCAGCAAATAAAATAAAAGTGAAAAAGTAAAAGAAAGCTAGAAAGAAAAAGGAAAACAAAGAGACAAATTTTTTAAAAAGAGGAAAACGTCAAGTCACTGTTAAGTGAAAAACTCAGCATCTTGTACTTTCGATATGCCTCTCTAGAAATTCACCTAGCAACCCCTATTAATATAGACAAAAGGGCCCCCTGGGAAATAAGGAAGTTTTAGGCTTTTTTTTTTTTCAATAGAAAGATGATTAAACACAGAATAGTCCTAATGTGTAGGTCTACAAGCCACAATCATTGTCTAAGATAGAAATCAATCCACCCTTCCTTAGATTAAATTCTCTATTGCAGTGATTCTCCAATGGGAGTGAGGGATTTTACCCCAGACATACGGCACTAATGAGAGACATTTTGGTGATTATAACTGGAGGGGTACTACTGGCATCTAGTGGATGGAGGCCAGAGGTGCTACTAAACATCTTAAAACGCAGACTAGCCCTCTGCAAAAAAAAAAACTATCTGGCTCAAAATGTCAATAGGGGCCAAGATGAAAAACTCTGCCCTATTGCTTCCTAAATGATAGAAGTCACCCAGTGAACTAGAATGTAAAAAGATGACAAAGCTGATTTTTTTCTATAGCTTTTGCTTATTAAGAAGAATTCAGCAAAGTTAGAACTTCTAATTTTAATTTCTAACATTCTGATTCCAACATATTGTATATACCATTATCGCAAAGGCCTATTATCAACTTGTAACTAGTGGAAAAAAGAGACCCTCTACATTTCAAGTAAAAAAACTATGGGACAAAGATACTGGCCACCAAATACACTGGAACTTCCATAGTACAGCTAAGAAAAACTAAAGACAAGACATTTACCAGAGGAACAATCCAAGGTTCCTCTATAAGGGTGAGGAAAATCTGGTATGTTAATCAAGTGGTGGGAAACTATGGCCAGAGGACCAAATCTGGCCAATGGGCCTATTTTTATTATGTTTATTAGAACATAGCCATGCCCATCTGTGTAGGTATCAACCCTGGCTATTTCTGTGCTCTAAGAGCAGAGGTGATTAGCTGCTGCAGAGAATAGCAGGCTCAAATTCTAAATGACTGGCTTGCTGGCCCTTTCTAGTTTTCAATGTCCCACCTCTGCATCTTGGTTTCGCAGCACAGGAAGCGAAGGGAACAGACCCCGGGCATGACTAACCCCAGGCTCCATCAGAGCAGTAGCTCTCAAAATGTGGCCCCGGGCTCATGTCATCAGCATCACCTAAGAGCTTATTAAATATAAGTTGTGCTTTCACAAAAATATTCATTAGGATATAAATAATCAAATACCTTCCCAGACATAAACATGTAGATATTTAACAGCAGCATATACATAAGGCATCAAACAGTCATTTCCAATGAAAATGAATAAAGGAAATATGGCTATGAAACCCTATGTATAGTTTCCAGGGAAGTTTTACATTTACATATATAAAATCATTTCTCTCAGAAACTTCAGCATAAAAAGATATGAACAAGATACTATAAATACTATGGAAGGCTGTATTTGCTTTTAAGATCTATACCTTTAATTTATATGAGAAAATGCTGTCAGGTTATTTTAAGTCTTTATACCTGGCAAGACACCTGGAAAATAATTTACCTGGTACACAAATATAGAAAAGTAGTTATTTTCAGTTGCTTATTTTGTTATCATACTCAAGAAATGACAAATTCAATTCAAAGATATGGTCTTTGGACACCAATATGGATAAAAATCATGGTTCCTCAAACCTGACAGTTCTGGCAGCATACAAGTTAACAGAGCTTCTAGCTTACAAGAAGTAAGTGAGATGGAGCTGATGGATAAAGACACAAGCTTAAACGGAGGCTCCAGCAGGAAACCCTAGCATTGATAATTGTCATTTTCTATTTACAACATTAGGTCTAAATGCTTCAGGTTTACAAGGATCAAACCATGAAATGGTAATGCTGGTCATTAATACATAATAAATCAATATATGTATATGTGTGTGTGTGTATATATATATACATACATTTTGTTGGCAAAATCTGGAAATACATCTTACTGAAGGTTGGCCTTTTAAAACATCCTTGAAAGGGCTTCATTGCTCAATGCCAAGGTTTCTAACAGCTCACAAGGGAGAATGGAAAACAGTGTTTTAGAGCTATTTCTGCCCTGTGTCAATAAGTGACCACCTGACATTAACACCAGCTATAATGTGTTCCATTTGAAGGTCATCATGAGGGAAAAATATCTTGTAGAAGAGCATGACTGCCCAGTAAGAAACTGGTTATGTCTGAGTCATGGTGAAGCACACAGCCTGTCCACAGCTTTTACCATGCAGTAACTGCTTGCATAACTATCCACACTCTCTTAACAAAGAGCTTTACAATTGATGACGTCAGATACTAGAAAAGAAAATGTCTTGAACTATAATTTCCAGAGATTAGTTATGTATCTCTGTGAATCTACCAACAGTTTTGTCTGGCTTGTCAGCAGCTACCTGAACGGGTCTCTCACTGCACGTTCCTCCATATGAGCTGAAGAGCAATGAGGGAAAGGCAAAGACCTGAGCCAGACCACAATCTTCAGAATAAATGCCTACAGTGCCCTCTGCTGGATGCTTTTTGTTATTGGTTTTGAGATCAGCAACTTGAGGATTTAATTAAAGTCCAATCTGATTTAAGTTGATTACATATCACTAAACCCTACGCATCCTTTCCAAATTAGTTACAAGCTAATATTCATGCTAACCCAGTCATACAAAAAAAGCACAAAGAGGTTTCTGAATGGCAAATTTGTTCAGATATAAACAAGTGATTAAATATGACACTGGTATATTTTTTATAGTGTTTGTTCAGAGGCCTCCCATTTTCTTGATCATTATAAACCCTCCATACCCAGTATTGAGACACAGGTACACACCAATAGACTGTCATGCCTCATGATAAACATGACTGATTAACAAAATATGGGTTTTAAAATCTAAAATGGGCTCGGCGACTATAGCTCAAA